TCAATCTTCGTCGCAGTGCTCTTGTCGAAGGAGATGGGTAGCGCAGATTCCCCGCAGAGGACGACGGGTTGGATTAAGAAGTGGGGGAGCGAGATTTTTTATTTATTAAAATGGTCACTTTTTTGTCTAGGTAAAAACTGGTCATATTTTTGTCTCTTCAAACTCTACAACTAATATTTTTTCCATTATTTCCTTGTGAAAACCAATTACTATTCTGATCTGTTTGGATTTCCGTATTTTAGATATTAATTGTTTTTTACTAATATAATGAGTCGGGTCTAGCCCCCCCCCCCCCCCCCCCCCCAATTAGTTTCTTTTTATTTTTGCTCTCATGTATTTTTGGGAAGGTTTTGGCCTAGTCCCCCTTTCATAGTGTAATTCACTCTTAATAAAATATCGGTAAATGTCCCCCAGTATTTACCCCACTGATTTTGATGGTTGACCTTCCGGGGTATTAAAAAAACATACACTGCTCATTAAAATCAAGATATTTAACCCAAGTATCCAAAGTAATACCTGAAATACTACTCAAGTTTAAACTAATATTTTTAAAGTTTAATAGTAATGTTTTAATCCTATTTAGGGAAATTTCTTGTATTTTATAGAGTATTATTTAACTTTGTAGTAAAAGTACTTTCACAAATGGTATTTTATTATTGTACGTACGGAGTAATAAATATCTTTTTGTAAGACATGAAACCATGGTTTAAGATTTTTCGTTCATCTTCCATTAGAGCATCTCTATTCATCACACTCAATTTTACGGATTTTTATGACTTATTATTGTCATGTCACTTCTACATAAGAAAATCTCAAATAATCTCTAAACCTATCAATTTCTCATCATCCATGATTTTAATTAACCTTGGTTTTTTTATGAGATGTGCACTCAATTTCAAAATCTCTAACTTAAATGCACTCACACACTCACATGCACCCCATATGGACACAATATATATACTTAATATATACATTTAGTACGTACACCATTATATATATATATATAAATTATACCCTTCAAAAAAATTGAACTACGTTATTATTTATGTATACTGTATAACTTTTAGGTTCAACATTTAGTACCTTGTGTGTAAAATAATTTAAAATATTAAGTTAAGAAGAATTATTTTATATAAATTATTAGGTACACTTTTTTTATATACATTTAGTACCATTTAGTACTAAATGGTAGCTACGGAAATGGCGATGGAGGAGGGCTATGTTGATGTCTATGTGGAGACGGATGCTTCTCTCTCGCTGGTGGTTCTCTCTGCCGATTCAGGAAACCCTACTGGGGTTCGAAATTTCAGGAGGAAAGCAATAGACAGAGGGTATATGTTTGGACATGTACTTAGACAGGGTAATGGGCCGGCCCATTTACTCGCGGGTCAGTTGTTGGATTCGGTCCAAATTGTTCGGTTTGATAGTTTGGGCCATCTTCCGATTAATGTGAAAAATAGCTATTATGCAGATCTTTTTGGCCTCCCTAATTTGCGAGATTAATTTTTACTTTTCGTTTTATTCTATTATATTTTGTTGGGAGGTTTTGGTTTGGTCCCCCTCTCTTGTACTCGTTGAATTTTAATAAAATCCTGGCAAGCGTTCCTCCGGCGTTTGCCCCACCGATTTTGGTGGTTTGCCTTCCGGAGTAAAAAAAATTAGTACCATTTAGTACCTTGTATATAATTTTTTTTACGGATAGTGCTATGATCAAAAAACAAACGGATAGTGCTTATAATTATAAACTGATAGTACGTTTAGTTACTAGATCTACAATTCGTAGTGCATGCAGTTTAAAAAATTTCGTCGTTTGAAGTAAGCCTAGTCATCACCTTAATTATGAGTATGCCTAGAAAATGGGAAGATGGGCCTAAAAGTTGGAAATAATCTTCAAAAAATCTAGCTTTAGAATTTGATATTAGATTTTTTTATCAAATAATCTCTTCAAATAATCCTAACATCTCATCCATAATCTCAAAAATTATCATCCACATCATCAAAATAATCTCTGGATAATCTCATGGATGGGGATGCAGTTCTTATACCGTGGGATCATCCCACGGTGAGCACGGTGCTCCACTACCAAAACGACGTAGTTTTGCACAATTTTAAAAAAAATCGGGTGAACAATACACGCATGAACAGTGCACGCGTGAACAGTACTTCTTTTTTATTTTTCTCTTGTTCCAGTAGCAGAATGATGTAACTCATGTGTAAAGAAATGTAACTCACGTTATTGTTGAATGTAACTCAAGTCTTATCGAAGTGTAACTTGTCATCTACATAATATAAGAAATAAAATATTGATTTCAATGTAAAAAAGAGTCTAATTGCACAAATATTTTACATAAATAGTGTATATGTTCTGTTTTTAATATCTGGGCTATAAAAACAATTTTTTTATAAAAATAATTTTTAATTTGAATAGCAAATGCTTATTGGGTTCTGTAACTCGCATTATGTTGTGATGTAACACGCGTTTTGAAATATGTAAATCAATTGTAAACATGATGTAACTTGTTAAAAAAATTGACATGTAACTCACAGTATAAGATATGTAACTTTAGACAAATTATAATGTAACTGCATGTATTTTCAAATGTAATTTGAGTCCAATCAAAATGTAAATTGTCTAATAATGTTTAATATATTTTTTCAAGAAATGTATCATCAATTTTTAACCATCATCAAACAAATATTACAAAAAATTCAACCCATCATTAATTCTACAATACTGGAGCATAGGACAGAAGTTGCTGCTAAAGTCAAAAGGAGAGATGGGAGAGACCATATTTTCTCAGCCATTGCTTTCTAATCGGTCCGGACATGTGTAAAACGGCAGCAACTATTTGTTCTCTCCGTAAAAGCATCCAGGAAGTTGTCGAGACGTTTATGGCTTCTGAAAGGAGAAACGGCAGGGGAAGCCGCAGCTGCCGCAATACTAGATAGCTTCTTCTCCTTCAGTATTTCAACCATAACTCTCCCTCTTGTCGTCACCGCGCAGAAGACGGCCGAGCGGAATCTCCTACCATGGGATGAGGAGCTAGCCACACCAGAGCTCACGCTTCTTCTTCCGCGGCAGCTATTTGTGCTCTGGCGCTATGCTCTTTTTTTAATTGATAAAACGGCGTGATTTTGGGATCGGCACACCATATATGGTCATGGTGGGCCGATCCCACGGTATAATTTGCCATGGGGTTAATATAAATTTGATGCTTATTGTTTTGGTTTTAATTAACACCCTTCTAAGTAATTAAGAGGCGTGGGTCCATCTCAATACTTTTATGTACATCATTTTATTATGGTATGGTAATGAATGTTCTTTAGAAAAAACTGTTTACTGTATTGACTATTTACCTAACGTCATTTTGATTTTTATTCATTTGAACTCTGATTAAATATTTAACTTTTGACTAAATATAAATTTGGAGTAACGTTTGAGGCATTGACTATCGAAGGTTTAGTCCCTCTTTCCACGGCCAAAAGATTACGTACATATCTTTCTACCTGCTTGACTAGTTAATTAATTAATAATGGTAGAATAAATCATGAGCTGAGCTTGCAACAACAAATAAACATAAAGTTCTTTTTCACATGAAAGTAATGAATACTAGTATAACTTTACAAAGAGAAAATAGTGTATTAATGTGTAAAAAATATTTTGAAGTGGACTGATTTAGTTTCAGAACAAATCATATTGAATTACACATCTAGAGCAAACCAGACAAGATATTAACACCTAATCAGATTTAGATGATATATAAATAAATGAACATCATTCCGACCAATATTAGTTCGGAAGGAATTGAACTTAAACATATACAGGGTCTAAATTAACTTAACAAATTATATCAATTTATATCATATTAGTTCAAATAAGACTAGACTAGCACAATCATTGAAACATATCAAACTTGAATTTCAATGCAAGAGATTCTAAGACGTTTGATATTCTTAGCAAGCCTTGCAAATATTCCTAGCTAGCCTTGCACTGCTTCTTGGAATCTTAAATCGATTCCAAGATGGATCGACTGAGCGGTCTAGCAGTTCACGATCCGTTAACCCTGTTGAAAAACACATAACTTCTATTTCGATCATCTTCCGAAGATACTGAACCAAGAATGCCTTGGGTCGGATTAAATTAAGCTCACCTTGTCTCTCTATCTTCTCAACAGACTCATAAGTGGCTTCAATTTGTAAAGACACACTCTTATCCTCAACATGTGAAAAAATCTCTTGTGAAGTCAAAGCCCCTTTGTCTGTGTCCAAAAAATTATCATTGTAGGTTCGCAAATCTTCCCGAAATAATTTCTCAGAGATGGAGCTAGTATTATGAAAGGTGTCAAAATCCCTAGGATTAATCTCAAGATCCAGCCACCTGATGTTTGAAAGTTAATATAATCATGATCACCTTATTATGTGAAAATTAATTTCATCCTAATTGAAACTCACTTAAGCACAAATTTATGAACATTTATTAAACTTTGTCTGAGAATGAGAAATAACGTTTCACATTTATTGGTCTTATGTTTTTTTTTTTGCAAAATCGGAGTAAGATAGATGAATATTATTTAATTAAGTCTCATCTGAAATGATCAGGTTAGTTTGATATAATCAGTTTGTATCTCGTATGAAAACAACCCAACTAAACACATGAATTGTTTTCATTTTAATTATAATATAGGGGAAGTTCTTGAAATATGACTCAAACAGTTTGAAAATTCCAAAATAAGACTGTCATATTTTTTATTCCCAAAACAGGACTAATTACTGTCATGTTTACAAAATACTGTCATGCTTGAAGTCTGGTACTGCCAAAACATGACAGTAATTAGTCCTATTTTGGGAATAAAAAGATGACAGTCTTATTTTGAAATTTTCAAACAGCTTTAGTCCTATTTCGGGTAATATTCTCTACTATATACTCCGCGTTAATTAGTCCGTATTATCTAAAAATTAGCGGATTACTTATAACTGATTGCACTGGTAAGAATGATGCATGTCTAACAAAATGGTGTCAAAACTGTTTATAGCACTGTATGAAGCTCAAGATCTTTGTACAAACACAAATCGAGTACAAATAAGTAAATAAATACGTATGTCAAAGCAAAGCACGGCTACAATCCGCTTTTCCGAAACCCACTCTGAACCGGGCCAAGTCAAACTCCACCCAGAGATTTTGCTGGTGGAAGTTCCCGACGAGATTGCTCGGCTCGTCGATGTTGCCGGAATTCCCGATACCCAAACAACTCACATTACGGCCGTCGACGTCAAACGCTAAACGTTCGCCGGGGATAAAAATCTCAACGGCGTTGTCGAATTCGAAAGTCATGTTGCCGAGCATCTCTCCGATCGCCGTCGCGCTCCCGTCGATGCACATGTCCATGACCCCTTGGTACAAGTAACCCATCTTAAAATTTGCGCCGGTTAGTCGCCGGACTTCTTCCTTAATAATCCAGTACGAGTGATTCACCAGGAGCGTGTACTCTGTCCCCGAATCGATAATCGTCTGCCCTTCACCTAAGGTGCTATTGACAAAATCGGTCACCGGAATATCCAGCTTTTTCCCGCCGATTCTGATTCCGGTCATATTGACGACGTAGGCCTGAAGATTGAGGGAGGGAGGGAAGACTGCGGCATCAGAGAAACTCAAAAGTTTCGTGTAATTGAACGTGGCGGAATTCGGATTCACGCCCAAGTAGAAAGCTCCGTCGGGATATCTACGCCTGCCGTGGACCATCTCCCGGACGGGCACGCAGTAGGAGAAGGTCTGGTACTTGGATTGGGAGATAAAAGAGTAGTCCCCTAAGTTCATCCCCAAAATGCCCTCCGAGTCGGTCGCGCTATTGGCGCAACCCATCAGAAACTTCCCAGGATCAGATTGGGAAGATGAATTAGCCAGATCAGTAATGTTCTCCCGGACCAAAGTCCCCTCCGATAGGGTCCCGTCAGCGTAGGGAGTCGAGTATGTGCACGTGGTATAGTCCGCATTACAGTAGTTGTCAACGCCCTGATGGAACATTTTGGGTTTGCAGCTCTCCTTGCAAGGAAAGAAAGACAGAGTGTTCGACATGGAAATGCTAAACGGCCCTGTATGATTGTGAAACATCGGCAGCGGCGGCGTCGCCGCCTTAGAAGCTGTGGGCTTGGCGGTGTCCATGAGGCACGGCATCCACATCAGCTGGCTGCCGGTGTCCAACACCATGCGTTGATACTGTGGGGGCACCCCTATGGGAAGGGTAATGGTCAGAGCCATCGTATACTTAACCGTGTAGTTGCGCTGCGGCGGTGGTGGTGTCCTCAGGTTCTTTGGCGAACTCGGCCCTTTCCCGCGGCTATGATCTGCCGCAGCGCGTGACAGAGACGACCGAAACGGCGCCGTTGGGCTACTGGAAGAAGAGTCAAGCGGCTTCCGACGAACCACAGAGAGAGTGAAAGCAGCTGACGAAGGCTGCCCGTCGCCGGCTGCGGCTCCAAATATGTAAAGGAAGATTAGAGGCAGGAGCCAAAGAGGCATGAAAGAAGCCATATTTATTGGATCTATGGAAAATTATTATTAGTACTAATTGCGAGAGAAAGCATTCAGAGATACCAAGAACGGGACGTTGGGCTCCTGTAATGTTTTTATATACTCCGTATTATACAGAGATATCAAGAAATAGAGAGAGAACAGAAACAGAGTGCGGTAAGACCGAAGAGAGTAAAATAGAAAGGGAAAAAGACACATATTCAAAGCAGAACGCGGGTTTTTTGCACACGGAGAATGAGCTTTATAATTGCCATACCAAAAAGTTTATACTTACTCCGACTCTTTATAGTTGCAACGGTCAACATTTCACGTTTTTAAACACATAATTTTGACTGTCATTATATTTAATTCTATATTAGTAAAAATAAAATAAAAATTAGATTATAAAACTTAGTAATGAGACGAATTTAACAACATTTTTCAAAAAAAAATAATTCACATATATTAATAAATAAAATGTAGTCAAAGTAAAGTACATGAATAGTGTATATATTCCAATGTTGCAATTAATGAGATACCGAGGATAGTATTTGGCGGAAATCACTAACCAAATTCTTCCCAATTGTTAAATTTGGTTATTCATCGAAATCGAAAAAAGAAGGCACAACTATCAAATAAGTCATCGAACTTTCATAAAAAGTGCAAATAAGCCCTTTTATAGGAGGCTCTGTCCAGACATCGCCATTTGGGGTGGTGTTCGGTAGAAGTTTTTGATGAAATTTTTTGAGTATCTTCTTCATTAAGTCTAGTTTATTCATACCAAATTTCAGCTAAAAATTAAATCGGGAAGGTAGTCAAATGAATTTTTGAAGATAACTGCGCAATTAGACAGCGCAATATATTTCAGAAAATCATTTGACTGCCTTATCGATTGAAGTTTTAGCTGAAATTTGGTATGGGTAAACTAGACTTGATGAAGAAGATGCTCAAAAATTTTAATCAAAAAATTCCACCGGAAACCGCCCCAAATGACGACAGCCGAACAAAGTCTCCGGTAAAAGGGCTTATTTGCACTTTTTATGAAAGTTCGAGGGCTTATTTGATAGTTCTCCCAAAAAAGAATGACAATTATATTACTCATGATTTTAAATTGGCAAAAATAAGACATGAATCCCGTAGGACAAAAAAGAAATACTCCCCCTGTCCCTAATAACTTTGTCAAGTTTGACAGACACAAAAAATAATAAACTAAAAACTGTTTGAATGAGGTTTATGCAGATGAGAGAGAATGAAGTAGAAGCATAAATTCTTTACTTAAAAGAGAGAGTGACAAAGTTAACAAAACATCCTTTTTTACAAAGTTATAAGGGACGGAGCGAGTATGATCGCATTAGACAAGACACCAATTACGATTAGGTCGGTCAAATCAGACTAGACTACATTGATTTCAGGAATTGTAAAATACACAAATACGTATCATATATCAACCACAAAAGTTTAAACTGTTTTGACTAGACAGTATCATACCAGAATAGCTGGACCCAAAATTTTAAATCCAAATAAAAACATCCTAAAAATGCTAAAAAAGAATATTACTACTACGTAGTAAGAAAGATGAATCTCTATGGGTGGACTCGGTCTCGATATGGGAGGCCCAAAACTGAAGCGGGTATTATGGGTCTCGTTCCCGTCCCAGGTACCTGGCCCATCTAGGGTTTGGTGCTGAACCGACTCGGAGCCTGTTCGGGCAATTCCCTTTAATATTATTATTTATTGTATTATTAATATAAAAAATAAATTTTACACATTAAAATGAAATTTGGATTTATTTTAAACATTACATTGACTTATACATGTATAAATAGCAGTAGAGAATAGTTACATAAATTTCCTATTCTTCAGAACTCTCGGTCCAGTGTCGGTTATCGTTTCTTCCATAAATAGCGGAACGGTGTTAGGTTAACATCTTGAGTTGAATAGTAGGCCTTCAACCAATCGTGGAAGCAAATGAGTGTTTCTAGAATTTGGGTGTTCAACCTCGTTCTAAAATTGGTTAGAACGTTACCGGTTTCACTACTCTTATTCCACGGCAACCATTGAAACCGGCATCGACGGGACTATAAAATTGAAACTTTTCTTGTTTTTCCTTCCACCAATTGAGAATCCTCTTCCCCTTCATTTTACTCACATAAAAATATTAGATATAAAGAAAGTTTGTTAATCGAGCTTTGCAAGGGTACTCTCGATATCCCTAATTTATCATCCAATGTACAATTGGCAAGGAATTAAGATAGCGAGTATTTTATGATAGAGAGTTTTGCAGAAGATAGATAAATGTGTATGAATGTACAAGAAATGGTGTAAACCACAAATATTTTCCCAAAATGAGAAATGCAAAATTATTTTGGGCAAATAAAAAAGGAAATTTGGAAGATAACTAGGGACGGGGTGTAGTGGGCTTACCTTTTTTCAAAAGATTAGTTATTGTAGATTTAAAAACATCTTTTCCTTTAGATGAAGAAGTAACTAGTTTCGGGGAAGAGAATACATTATCATATTGTGTATGAAACTAGTTAAATAAATTGTGATATATATTACTACCTCATTGAATTTCGTTTGAACATCTATAGGGTTACTATCGTACATAGGCAAATAAACGTAGAAACAGAAGCAGTTATTATACTAACCCTGTAATCAAAAAAGTCTTCTCATCATATCTTCAATAATTTTGAAAAGAAGAAAATAATTAAAATAACCCAAACTATGAAGGGATGTGAGATAAACACCCCAAACTAACATATATAATTTAAATACCCCAAACTTTATATAAAAATTTATTTTGACATCATGGTCATGTATTATTTCTTTCAAAAATGTTAGGTTTTTGTGTTAATTTCATAATTTAAAATACTTTAGCGTTCATAAAGATACAATTAACATTCTAATTAAACTTCCGTTGTAAAATAAATAATATTACCCTCACTCTATATAATTACAACATTTTATTTTGTTATTTTAAATTATGCAATTAACACGATAAATCTACATTTTTTAAAAATAATACATGATCATGGTGGAAAAATAACTTTTTATATAGAGTTTGAGGTATTTAAATTATATATGAAAGTTTGGGGTGCTGATTTCACACTCATTCAAAGTTTGGAGTATTTTAATTATTTTTCCCTTTTGAAAATAATACACTTTTAGAACTTTTTTTTTTGGATTTATTCTTCATTCCATCACACTATTCCACTATCTTCCCACCTACCAGCAATAATTTATAATTTTGTATTCTTTCTCACTGTTCATATTCTACCCACTTTTGAAATAGGAACATCTATGTTATGGAGGTAGTAGTAGTTTAAGAATGATTTATATCTAAAAATTTGAGTTATTTATAGGAAATTTAGATCCCTAACTACACATACCTACCCACCTCACCCCTCCTTTTTTGTTAAAAAATGATCATTGGGATTGTCGAACTGAGATCGGCTGATTTGATTCCAAATATCAGAACCCGAGACCGAGTACCCCCTTTACCCAGTTGGATACCTGGTCTTGATTCGAGATCGATAAAACAAACCCGATCAGGTCTCAAACACTATTGGCCTAGTTCTGGGCCGAGGTGCACACCCCTATCCATGTCTAACAAAATGGTGTAAGTGCTTTTCATAATCTTTGGGCGCTAAGTATAATATACTCTCTTCGGCTCAAAAAGATTGAACAATTTGACTTTTCTTGATCAATGGTGTTAAAGTTTAGACAATGATTTTAGGTATTATATTTGTATGTAATTTATAAATTTTATAAAAAATTTTTATTAAAGTACATGCTCATCTAATTTTCATGTTTTAAATAATTTTGTATTTAAAAATATTAGTTTCACACTAATCCACAAAGAAAAATCAATTTGACCCTTTTTTTTTGTAGAGAGGAGTAATTGTATAGATGAACAAACAATGAGCACCGTATCTTTGTACAAACACGAATCGAGTACAAATATGTTGTTAACAAAACAATAAAAAATAAAATAAAATGAAATTGCATATTTACGTAGGTCAAACCAAAGCGCGGCTGCAATCGGCTTTTCCAAAACCCACCCTGCGCCGGTTCAAGTCAAACTCCACCCAAAGATTTTGCGTGTGGAAGTTCCCGATGATATTTCTGTCATCCGGCAACAGATCGGAGGTCCCGATGCCCAAACAGCTCACATTTTCGGTGATATCATCTGCTATCCGATCGGCGGGGATAAAAATCTCAACGCCGTTATCGAATTCCAAAGACATGTTGCCGACCATCTTTCCGATCGCCGCCGCACTCCCGTCGAAGCACATTTCCATGGCCCCCCGGTACACGTAACCAGTCTTGAACTTTTTACCGGCGCGTAGGGCGACTTCTTTCTTAATAATATCGGACACGTTTCTCACAAGAAACGTGTACTCTGTTCCTGAATCGATAATCGTCAGACCTTCATATCTTTCGTTGAAGCGAAAATAGGCAGCCGGAATGTCCAACTTTACCCCGCCGATTCTAACTCCGGTCATATTGACGACGTAGTTGAGAGTGTCCAGGGCAGCCGGGTGGATAGTGACATCAGCGAAACTCAATAGTTTCGCGTAATTGAACGTGCCGGAATTGGGATTCGCGCCTAAGTAGAAAGCTCCGTCGGGATTTCTCCGGCTGGCGTTGACCTTCCGCCGGACCGGCACGCAGTAGGAGAAGGTCTGGTACTTGGATTGGGAGATAAAAGAGAAGTCCCCTGAGTTCATCCCCAATATGCCCTCCGGGTCGGTGGCGCCCATCGCGCAACCCATCAAGAACGTCGGCGAATCTAACGGGGAAAATGAATTGGCGAGAGAAATATTCTCTTTGACCAAAGTGCCCTCTACTACGGTTCCGTCGGCGTAGATAGACGAGTATTTGCACTTGGTATTGTCGTCATTACAATAGTTGTCAACGCCCTGACGGAAAATGTTGGGTTGGCAGCTCTTCTTGCAAGGAAAGAAAGAGATTGTATCTGACCGCGAAATGTTATACGGCGCCGTATGAGTATGACCCACCGGCGGCGGCGGCGCCTTGGTGGTATTATCGAGGCACGGCATCCACATCAGCTGGCTGCCGGTGTCCAACATCATGCGCTGATTCTGCGGGGGCGTCCCTATGCGAAGGGTAATGATCAGAGCCATCGTATACTTAACCGTGTAGTTGTGCGGCGGCGGCGGTGCCCTCGGCTTCTTGTGCGGCGGCGGCGGTGCCCTCGGCTTCTTGTGCGGCGGCGGAGGCTGTCCTTTCCCACTGCGAAGATCAGCCGCCGAGCGTGAGTCGCGTGACAGAGACGATCGGAACGTCGCCGTCTTGCCACGCGATTTATGACTAACCGAAGAGAGGACAAAAGCAGCTGAAGGCTCGCCGTCGCCGGCTGCGGCTCCAAATATGGAAAGGAGGATCAGAGGCAGGAGCCAGAGAGGCGTAAAAGAAGCCATTTTTAACGGATCTATGGGAGATTTGAAAAACATGGAGAAATGCCCGGAACGGAACGTTGGGCGGTGTTTGGTCGGAGAGAGAGAGATTTGATGATGTGATTTGCGGCTGCGGTTTGTATGTATATATACTTGGTGCATATATACAGAGATATAGAGATAGAGAGAGAATGGAAAGAGGGTAATGCAGAACGGGGAAAAGACACATATTCGAAGCAGAACGCGGGTTTCTTGCATACGGAGAACTGACTTCATGATTGCATCGCCAAAAAGTGTATATTTGGCGGAAATCACTAATCAAATTCCTCCCAAGTGTTGAATTTGGTCGATCATCGAAATTAATACGGAGTAATCGAAATACGGAGTATTATTTTAATGAAACAAATACACTACAAAACAAAGTGGAATAAAATTAGGTGAACGTTAGATAGCGTCCATCTAATCAAAGGTACGGTACGGTACCTACTACTAATGGATAAACAATATGGAGTACGTAGTATATAAATTCTATTCCTGCACATAATTTTTACACATTTGACATCAATGGTACTCGACATGAACGAATGTAAAATATAAACAAAATGTGTACACACTTATTATGTGTATAGACAAGAGAGTGTAACAAGTTTGTACTAATTTTGTGTACACTAGGAATGTTATTGTGATCAAATTGATGTGATGAATGGTCGTCACTCTTTAAATATTTTAGATGAATGAATTTTACTCATTCATCATGATGGATAGTCTACCCGGGGTATATATCCGAAGGGTTATTGCGGGGAATAACTTAGAGAGAAGTCAGAGTAAGCAAGTAAATGTAGAGAGAGAGTGTATTCAGTATGAATGTCGTGGTTACAAATGAGGAAATGGGGTGCTATTTATAGTAGCAATAAATGCCGGACAGGGACACGTGTCAAGCGCTCATTGGCCGAGGGGTCACCTCAACTGGTTGGCGCTGGCAGCCGCATGTGGCCGCATTTAATGCGGCTGTTGGATGGGACGTCTGTGCAGGGTACGGTGATCTGTACGCATGTGAGGCGGATATCTTGTCGAGTGAGATGCCTTCGGCTATAGAGCAGTAGCTGAGGGCTCCTCCAACCGATGGCACCCTGGTGCCGAGGGCTCACAATGCCGAGGGCTACTGTTTTCGCCGTTTTCTCCCAGTTTCTTCATTTGCTTGAGAAACCCGTTCTGTGAGAGTTTAGAGCCTTCGGCCAGGGGGCCGAAGGCACCCCTGGCGCGTGGTGCGGGCTGCTTGGTACTCTGGGCGCTGTGAGTTGGGCCTGCTGGGCCTTCTGGGCCTGTTGGGCTTTTGTTGGAGTAGTGGGAGTCTGTGGGCCGGGGGTTCCCGGGCCATATACTCCATCAGGAGTCCCTCACTCCTTTTGCCGAAAGGTACTTGAGGGAAAAGGAGTAATCTGTGTTTGCCCTTTGACGTTGTCCTGTCGTAACCTCTGAAGTTGGTGAGGAGTTGTTGCTTTTATGTCCCTGCCGAAGGCAGTCCCTCAGTTACCCACATGTTGGGACTTGAGGGCTTGCTTTGTCGTTTGTTGGAATTTCACTAATTTTGTAATTTTAATGAATTTCCCGAGGGGGTCCTCCAGTCCCCCACTCCTTGAGGCACTTGTAAAGTGGTGAAAAGGAGTAGAGTAGTCGTGTTGCTGTTGCGAGCCGAAGGCTGACGCTTTTCGTTTCATTTTGGGGGGATGCCTCGTTAAAAACCTCATTAGAAAAAACCCTGTGGGAAAAAATCCTAATGAGGGAAAAAGAGTGCACCGAATTCCCCCAATGATGAATCGAAAATGTCAAACCTTGGTCAAAAATGGAGAATAACGGTAATGCCGAAAGCTCTTCTTTTTCTGAGGGCTCATGTGTTGACTAGCCGAAGGTTTGCTGTTGATGTCCTGGGGGTGCCCAAGGGTAGCCCCCCAATCCGGGGATCGAGGGCCTGCCGGATGAGGGCAGCAGCGGAGTTGTTACTGGGGGGTCCACTGTTTGTTGATTAGTTGGTGATGAAGATACCCGAGGGCTCCCATTACCTGTGTGCCATGGGTTATCCGTCAATGAGGAAACTCCCCGGGGGCTACCCGGTTTGCAGTGCTGAGGGGGAATCTCCGAGGGGTGCCCTGATATGAAGCCTTGGGTTCTGAAGGAGTGATCCCGAAGGCATCTGCTATGTGCTGTGTGGGGCACAACCCGGGGGCGTCTCTGGGTAAGTGTACCCGGAGGCTCTCTTTGATGTAGCGGAGTGGAGTAGAAAACCCGGGGGCTTCCAGAATATAGCCGTTGGAAATATAGCCGTTGGAATATGTAACGTCAGGATATAGCCGTTGGGGGGGACACGTGGACTGTAGCCGTTGGCTGCTCGTGGGCGGGCGTCACCGGTTGGGTGAAACGACGGTGTGTAATGATGACGGTCCGTCCGGAGGCCCGGTTTCTGGGCCCAAACCCGGATTCCAGCGCCTATAAATACCCCAAGGCCAGAGCCATTTCCCCTTGTGCGATCATTTGTCTTAGCGAAGCTCTGCCCAAAATTCTAGTGAGAGAAGCTCAGGCCTTCGGTCAAAACTTCTGCTTTCAAGGTCAGTGCCCGCTTTCCCTTCACCTCTTAGCTACATGTACTGTGCCCTTAGGTTAGGAGATAGAAAATTTAGAAAACACTAGCGTCTACGAGCCTTCGAACTAGAGTCAGAATGTCGTCCCAGAGTGATTCTCAAGATATCTCGGGGGCGCCCTCGATGGAGGATGAAGTCCTCTCGGACGTGGAGTCCTCAAGTGCAGAGTCCTCGGTGGGACAGGATGCCGTCGTTGCCCTGGAGTTGCAGAAAGCCCTCGTAGCTGAGGCGGAAGCCGAGGGCTTTGAGCAAGAATGTGAGGACGAAGAGTTGGCCCTCGCCTGACAAGCAGCTGAAGAGGAGGCACAAAGAGAAAGCGAGAGGGTCACCGCTGCTGTGCTCCCCCCTCGGGGTGCCGAGGAGGCCAGCACCTCTCGGCCGCTGAATGCGGTCCCCATCCGGGTGGCCCCCGGAAAGAAGAAGGCCAAGGCCGCTGCTCCTAAGAAGAAGGGCAGCGTAGCAGATCAAGGGAAGCCCCTCGATATGCCCGAGGGGTACTCCTATCTCAACACCGCCGCATTGGAGATCAAGTTGAAGGTTGATGCGGCGGACATCTATGTCACCCAGCTTCACGTGGGCCCCTCGGCCATCGTGGTGACACCGGGTCCGGATGACGTCCTCTCCCGGGCTCCCGAGGGCTGCATTGCGGTGCACGTCCTCTCAGTATCCATGGGGCTCCGCTTCCCCCTGCACCCCTTCCTCCGGGAGTATCTTCGGTTCGTGGGTCTGGTTCCCTGCCAGCTGACCCCGAACAGCCATTCTTATATCACTGGCTTCCTTCAGCATTGCAAGTCCCGAGGGGTGACGCCTAGCCTGGACCTCTTCTTCCAGAGCTTCAACCTGTGCCGGGGGGGAGGGGGGGCACGCGAATGCCGAGGGATTCGCCAATTTGCAGCAGGTGTCTATGTTCAAACTTTTCACTGAGGCACCCTCCTCGAACAAGGGGTGGAAGGACCGGTGGTGCTATGTGAAGCTAGCCGAGAGCCTCTTCCCGAGGGAGCTACGTGACCGCTTCAGGAGGCACGAGAAGAGGAGGAGCGCCGCCCTCGAGAAAGATGGCAGGATTCTGGCCATGATCCCGGAGGGCCGGGACAAAAATATCACCATCAAGGAGTGCACCAAGGAAGTAGATCTCTACACCCTCGGATTCCGGCGGTACCGGTTCCTGGGGGAAACAGACGAGAAGTTCCCAGTGTTTGAGGGAGCCTCCGGAGGTAGTGGCTGAGGGCATTCTCACCCTCATATCTTAGCAAATTATTTACTTGCGTCGTTTATTTTTTTATGCCACTTATTAGTGACCCCTCGATCCTAACCCCTCATTTTTTTTGCAGGTGTTCCAGTAAGCATGATGAGCGTCAAAGGCCTCGCCCGACTCAAGAACAAACCGGCCAAGGATCCGAAGGGGCCGGACGCTGGCGGCCAAAAGCCCGTCGGTGCGCTTCCCAAGAAGCCCGAGGGCGATGCTGCTGCGGCAAAGAGGAAGCCGTCGGCAAAGGAGCCCCCCGGGCCCCCAAAAAGGTTAAGAAGGGGGACGCCGCGAAGGATGACCCCCCGGTGGTGATTGTAGATGACCCTCCAGAGATGCCGATGGCGCAGGTGCCGAGGGGTGCCCGGGAGCCATCTGTCGAGGTCCTCACGCTCTCCCTTCCGGCTGGCACGGCCGTGTTGAATGGCACGGCTGACCCGAGGGCGCTCCTGAGAGGTATAACCCTCGATATCGACATGGCAGCTCTCGGGGCCGATGATGATCAAGCCCTCGAAGACAGGATCCTCCGGTCTTCCCTCACGGTGAGTTCACTATAGTTTGTCTTTCTCTTTCCCACTTTGAACTAAGAAATCACGTTCGGCCCTGACAACTCGTTTATCTTTGCAGACTCGCGTTGCCCTCGGAGAGCAGTTCCGACGGCTGGAGGAATGGCGCCTCCACAAAGCTGGGCAAGACGCCAAGATAAAGGAGTTGATCCTCAGGGACTCCCAGGCCACGAAGCTGATGGCCCAGCTTGAAGAGGACCTCCAGCTTGCGAGGGCGGAGGCCGGGAGGCTCAGGGAGGAGAAGGCAGAAGCTGAGGCGGCCGCTGCGGAGGCCGCAAGGAGAGCAGCCGAGGAGGCCGAGGCCATCAAGGCGAAGGCTGTCGCCACAGCCCAGGAGGAGGCCATCTCCGGGTTCCTGGACGGGGGGTGGAAGACCGAGGGGCACAAGACATGGCTGTCCTCGGTTGTGGAGGCCTCGGTTGATGAGTGGTCCGAGGGCCCGGGCGAGGAGTGGATGGCCCGAAAGGGTAAGCAGTATTATGATGGGGGTGAGTTCTTCACTCAAGCCCTCATCTACCGGAGGATGGCCCGCCATCTGAAGATTGAGCCGAAGGACTTTGACCCGGCGGCGTACGGGCTCCCCCCTGCAGCCAGACATCCGTGTTCCTCTCCCCCCTGATGTCGAGAGGCCAGACCTGGAGGATTCTGAGCTCCGGAGGGAAGCCGAGGGCGACGATCCTGAGGCCGATGTAGAAGTCACCTCGAAGCCATCGGGGGAGGCGGCCCCCGGGAATGACATTATTTGATATGTACTTTGTACTTTGAACACTTTTGTAATAGCCACATTAGCATGTTTTCAGCCTCGGCCAACATTGTAATAACTACATTTACTCCTTGCTGTGATGAATGAATGATTGCCTTCGGGCTTTGTATCTAT